ACTTACGGTTTGAATCGATACGCGCTACGCCTCGAATACTTTTACGGATGAGCGGAGGCCATGGACGACATGGACATTGGCATGTGATGCAAGTTTCATTTCGAGTGAATTTTTATTGAGTTCAATTTTTAATTAGAATTATTTCACACAGGGCACACGACCCAATTCTTTGGGCAGATGGCCAATTACTTGGGCACACGGCTTATTATATCGGGCACATCACCAAATATATTGGGCACACGACCTCGGTGTGCCAAATTACATGGGCACATGGCTAATTATATCGGGCACACCACCAAATATATCGGGCGCATGGCCAAACACATCGGGCATTCGTCCAACTTAACTGCAAAATGGTGTACTCCGGAGTATTAATAACTACTCTGTGAAAATATAACGTTAAAATTACCGTAAAAGCTTAAAGATAATAATATAGCCCAACACATGACATCCAGCCAATCCCAGGTCGTTATTCAAATGTCATCCATTATCATCTTGACACGACGATGATGCTTGGTGGCGGTGCTCGGTCCGTGCTTGTGCGGCACTTCCATCGGTCTGTGGGCATCGTGGGTATGCCGAACGTGGGCAAGTCCACTCTCTTCAACGCCCTCACCCGCACGGGGCAAGCCCAAGCGGCGAACTATCCATTCTGTACGATCGACCCCAACATCGCTCGAGTGGGTGTGCCGGACCCACGAGTCCACGCGTTGGGCAAGATGGAATCGTCGCAAAAAGTGATTGAGACGCAACTCGAGTTCGTTGACATTGCAGGACTCGTTCGCGGGGCGTCCAAGGGCGAAGGTCTCGGCAACAAGTTCCTCGACAACATCCGGCAGGTGGCGGTGATTGCCCACGTCGTCCGGTGCTTTGAAGACATCAACATCTTGCATGTCGAGGAGACAGTGGACCCTCTGCGAGACCTTGACACGATCCAAACAGAACTTCTACTTGCAGACCTCCAAACCGTTGAAAAGCGATTGCAAACGGTCGGCAAAAAGAAGTACGAACCTCGTCACACATATAAACACATCCTCCCGCCTTGTAGTCATGCGTGTACCACGTTTGTTCTCGTAGGTCTGTCGATCCAGGCGCCGCGCATCTCCACGCCGTCCTCAAGCGCATATTGCCGCTGCTGGAAGATGGCATCGCCCTCACTGACGTCGCGTTCGAGCACCCCGAGGAGCGCCTCCAATTCGATCGCCTGCAACTTCTCACGCCCAAGAAAGCTTTGTACCTGTGCAACGTGTCTGAAGACGATGCCGCCACAGGCAACGCCATGACCGAAGCTGTGCGGAAGCATGTACGCAAAAGCGATACCCCCGACCAGTTTTAGTGTTTTCACCACATATGATTTTTTGTTACTGTAGGTCGAAGCGCAAGGCAGTGTGTGCTTGAACGTGTCGGGCGCGTTAGAGGAAGCGGCGTCCCAGTTCGACGACGAAGCGGGACAGCTAGAGTACCTGGAATGCAGCGGACTCCAAGAGACCGGGCTCACGCAAGTGATCCGGGCATGCCATGAACTGCTGCATCTGCAGTCGTACTACACGGTCGGACCGCAAGAAGCGCGCGCGTGGACGATTCCCAAGGGTACGCTGGCGCCTGCCGCCGCCGGCGTCATCCACTCGGACTTTGAGCGGCTGTTCATTCGAGCAGAAACCATCGGGTTTGACAAACTCGTCGACGCAGGCAGTATGAAGCAAGCACGGGACCATGGCTGGATTCGTACCGAAGGCAAAGACTATGTGTGTCAGGACGGCGACGTGTTTCACTTTCTTGTGGGTCGTTAACGTTACACCATATGTACACTAGTACAATACTAGTACACATGCACTGTACATACATATTGCGTGGTTCCGTGGGTTCAAGCAGACAAGAATAATATGTACTTCCTCTGTTCCAGGTTACTGCCGACATTTCAAAATTCGCATGTTCCAAGTTACTGGCGACATTTGCATTTCATTGGCTGTAATTCTTCAATTTCTATCAATATCGAACATTTATGACATTTCATTGGCTTATAATTGTTTTAAGCGCTGATTATAAACCAATCTTTTGCGAAAATTCATACAATTCCCTTTCAAAGTATCATTCGCCCAAATTGAGTGAGCGCTCAATTGTCTGTGTCAATTCAAAGTAAATGTCGGAAGAGGAAGTGGCCAAAACATCTTGGCGTGCCAGCTACCGGTTGCTAGTGTAGCCATGTGTGGAATGTGGGAGCCAAATACCGTTTACTTGTTGTACAGGGCACAGTACATTGTACTGTACAGTTGTGGAATTGTCCTTTTATCCAAAATATGGCTGACTTTTGGGCTAAATCGCCAAATCTATCGATCGATCTGAAAACTTTGTATGTAAAGTGTTGTCCTGTGATTGCAATCACACTAAATGAATTTACACACTAATTAAACGTTTGTGAAGGTTTCCTGCAATTCTGATTGGCTCAATTCTTCTGTCGATTCTTGTGTACATTTACAGTATTTGGTTATGTCAATTCATGCTCCAGTTTATACTTCGTAGATGTTCTTGTATTGACCGTGTGAGGTACTAGTATGTAGTAGTACATAGTAGATGCTACCATATCTATTTAGTACTACTACTACTGTACTACTGTAGCTAGCTAGCTAGCTGTACCAGTAGATTCTTGGTGTCCGGCTCGTTGGGTTTACAACATGTTGCTGGTCGCTGCCGATGGCAGATCAACGTCACTATATAGTATTTACAAAGTAGACTGTCTCTTGACATCAATGGTAGCCTTCCAAAGGGACGCTTGACATTGTGAACTTTGTTAAAACAAAATAGCATGCTCATAGCCCTCGTGTTCTACAACGCCGAATACGTCGATCGACGGGTAGCAGTGGTCATGACTTGCAAGGCCACAAACGCTGCGACGCCCGCCCCCGTTCCCACCACCACGGTCCACAAGGTACTGCTACTACTACTCGCTCCACGTGCTGCCATGTCATTCGTAGACTCCAACTTGGTGGCAATCACAGAGGTGAGGTTGTCTGCGTCGTCCACTTCCCCCGTCAGGTACTCGAGGTTGTCTTGGGGGTACGCGAACGTGTTGCACGTTGTATCACCGTACAAAAAGCATTCAAACATGTACAACGCATGCAGCGGTCGAATGGCAGGGACCTAATGAGTAGGTACTACTCAATACCGAGTCCTAGTGGTTTGAATAGGTACCATGTGGCCTGCACCCTTGACCGTTTTGAACGTCAGGCCTTGGTACTCTTGCGTGTACCCTGCGAGCTGCTGGTCGGGACCAAACCATGACTTCCACTTTTGCGTCACGGGCAAATGCAAGCCGTTGGGGCTGGCAATCCACCGCTCGGTCCCGATAAAGTTGACCACGGCGTCCGCGTCCCCACTGTAAATCAGCGCCGTCAAATCTACAAACGATGAGTTAGTCGAAATATAGAGTAGCTGTTGGTTGGTTATAGTCGAATCACATACTGTGCTTAAGAATGGTCTTGTACTTGGGCAGGGCAGAAAGAGATCGATTGTACCCCTCGGCAATGTCCATGTTGCAGTCTGCCCATGCAAACAGTGGTGACGCCCCGCTCGATGTCTTGACATGAATAGCTTCCTAACAATTCACCGTCGTTAGACGCCACACACCAACGAGTTGTCGCCCATTCGTGACCAATTCGATAGAGTGTACGAGCTATGAATATATATACCTGGACAACGGCCAAGTTCAAGTACTTTTCAGTGTACTTGTCCGTACACGGTTCGATCTTTCCACGGTGCATGGGCTGGTAATCCATGCGCTTTCGGAAATGTAGCATGTCGGCTTGGTTGTTGGAGAGCAGGCACACATCGCCGTAGATGTAGTACGGGTTAAAGTAAGCCGTGTCCGCGGCGACGATGCCCTCGTCAATCGCGGCTTGGCACGGCGCCGAGCAGTTGACCGAAGTGAACATGCACTGGCCGATCTCCGATTCACACTTGTCCACCATGTCGTTGTAGTTTTCCATGGAGATCAACGCGTGGGCGTAAAAGTAGTCCATGTATGCATTGCCGTCAATGTCGGCGTCCGTGAAGGGGTTGCCGATGGCGTACCCGCGGAGGTTGATGGTAGGGAACCGAGGGGTAAAGACCCCCCCCCCGCCTCGTCGACGCCCGTGATGGTGAGGGGGGTACTGCTGCTGCTGCTGATGGGGGGTTGCCTTGGCCGTGACCAATGTGTGCACAAGGTACGGAATGTAGATGCCTGCGTAGCTTTCGCCCGTAATGTACAGCGGTCGTTGCTGCAACGACGGATACGTGAGGAGAAATTGCTCGAGAAACTCGGCAATACGGTCCGTGGTAAAGTCGTCGTTGTAGTCGGACTGGTTCAACTGCGGCTGGCTAAAGCCCACCCCCGCGGGCGACTCCAAAAACACAACGTTCGCCTTGCGGTTCCACGCGTACGGGTTCAGCTTGACGGTGAGGTCGCTCTCGACGACAAACGGACCGAGCTCCGTGAACATCCCGCCGAGCGACGAGCAGCCTGGCCCGCCGTTGAGCCACAACACCAACGGGTCCACGTCAGGGTTGTCCTTGGATTCAACGTACCAGTAAAACATCTCTTGTCCGTTGCTAGGCAATGGCATGCGGCCGGCGTACATTCCAAACGAGATTGGGGTTGGGTCGCGGTAGTGGGGAAGGTCCACGATGAAGTGTTCTTGGGCCAGCGGAGTTAATGGAGTGTCGGCGGCGGCATTGACAGGAGCAGAGGCATAAGCTGTTGCCGCCATGGCAACGAGGCTACGAAGTGCGAGGAGCATGTTGTCGGTCGCAATTGATACTGCGAGTCAAGGTGATTTAATCGAGATGAGAGGGGTGTGGTTGAAGCTGTGCCACTACAGGTTTTACTTGGGTCCAGTATGGTGGCCCTGCAAGTTGAAGTGGCCCCGTTCCGACACATTGTAACGGTACAGTACATTTGTACTGCACTATGCCAGGCTAATGAAAAGTGACATTCAATCCGATAACTTAGCCAAACTACTCTGACGTTAACTTAGCCAACTAATTAAATGCCAGGTTTGTGAACTATACATATAGTATATCGAAAATTAAGGCTTACAATTGATCGAGTTTGCTCCACATCCAGTCCAGAATGTCGTCGTCGATGGTTAACACATATCGATAGAAAATCACTTCTTTGGGGTAGCCATGTCTGTGAAGCGAGAGCGCAAGGCCGGTGGAGGCCTCTTCTGACGTGGCAAAATGTCCGCGCACCAGGCCACCGCCTCATCGTCCGAGTCTGACGACGAGCTTTCGATGGCAACTTCGACGTGTCGTCGGCGTCGAGGCTCGCGTATCCTACTTGCGATCGCCACCGGTTTCATGGTTCCTTTCCCACCACGGTTGTCCAACGGTGCATCATCCTTCATGACCACAAGGGCGTCGTCCGAGTCTGGGAATGCTGGCACAACTAATCCCGTGGCTTCGCAGAGCTTGGCCAGGTCAAAGAAGCATCGTGCGATGGCATCTACCACTTCGGGGGCGTCTGCGTCCCATATCTGTGCGACAGTGCACGAGGCCGCCAGCGATGCCAGAGACGACTCCATACGAAGTAGCAATGCACTGCCTACTACAGTAGTACCAGCATGATCATCATCACATGATCGAGGCACAGTAGATAGGAGAAGCACATCATCACCATCATCATTGTCGTCGCCTTCTTGGCTACAGTCTCCACGACAAATCTCGGCAGCCCCCGATTGACTCAACCTCGTGCACGTGGCTGCAGCGTCCACGTACTCTGCCATGACAGCAGCCCAAGCCGTGGTTTCCGCCGACTTTGGATGGGAGCTAGGAATCGCAGCAAGGTAGCATTTGGTTTCCAGTTGAACCAACGTGGCCTCAAGGGCGTGGAGTGTGTCGCCGACATTGCCTTCGGCATCATCGTCGTCGTCGTCGTACATGGCCGGTGGAGTCTCAAAAAATGATCTGACGACTCTAAGTTTAGACCGATGCTAGTATAATCCAAGCAATAATCATCACATTCCATCGGAATCGCATATTCGGTTATGGTTTCTCGATACAATTTGTTAGCCAGCTCATCCAGCGCATTGCTAGTGCAACTCGTTATATACTTATACTTCGAAGTAGCATTATTATATAGCTACTGTTACACCGTCGACCTATACGTATATCTCAATCATGAGAATTAGTGCGGACCGCACCTAGTTTGAATATCGAGAATAATTACTATGGACTACAGTATTATCTTAACATTATCTGTAATTGGGATTTGTCGCCTAACTGTAAACACACATCACAACCCAGCTTTCATTGAAACAGTAGTAAAAAGTGCAGACATACATCGTCGTATCCCAGGTTCGTTACTTATACCATAGTATTCCATGGCTTTCTACGACTACCAGAGCAAGTGAGCCTCACCACCTACACCCCAAAGACCCAATATTTTGCACGAAATTATTGATCCGCACTACTAATTACTAGTACCAATTACAAAATTAGTCCATCACACATGTAATATTAGTCAGGACGGCACTAAGTCTCAATATAAAATCACTCATGACGGTCGACAGTGTACCACCAGTGTCCTTATATCGCTAACGGCACATTGTTTGACATGAAGACGCAGCTCCAGTTTATAATTTACATGTCACTTTATATTTTTTTCGGTGGAATAAATTAGGCATCTGTTACGGCAGCGGCTGCGTGCTGTCAAATCCGAGGCTCAGGTCCGCGAGGTGGCGGTTGGTCACTTTAATACGAAGCGCCGTGGGCACTAGCACGTATGGCTCCAACATGGGCTAGGAATACATCAATGCGTCCCCAAGTGAGACATCGATTCCTTATCCCAGGCAAATGAACTCCCGAGGGAAACCACCATGGCCCTGTTATGTGTTGTTTTTTGGTTCGTACCAAGTGGGTCGCAAATGTATTGAGGAAACGACTGGCGCTGTCGATGGGTTGTTGAAGCAAGTGGGCTTCACACATGGACAGCAAGGCCAGCGCCACACGGAAGAGGATCTTCCAGCTCTTTTCCGCCATGAAAATGTCCCACATGTTGTCGATACTGTGGCGCGGCAACGCGTTCAAGTACAAAAATAGGGTTTGAAACCACCCGACGAGGTACATTTGCACCGACATGCCTTCGACTTCAAAATGTGCATGCAGTTTCGGTAGCCCGAGTTGCAGAAACCGATTGAATTGATAGCAATGCAAGTGCAATTTGCTCAGCCCCGGGCTACAATATATATATATATACAGCCAACAACAAAAAAACACATATCTCTCCACAGCCCAAAGGGAAAACGCCTAGTAATACTAGTAGTACTAGTACCTGAACATGGCTTCCAACCCGTACTGGTCCAACAGAGCCACAAACAGCCAAAACGAGGTTTCTTCTTCCTCGACCAACCGTTGCGCCTTGGACGACAACGGCACGGCGCTCAGTGCCTACCCAAAACCAGTCACATCGACGACTAGACCAGAACGACTAGTATTACTAGAACACAACTACGACCAACTAGCGGGACGTAAAACCCCAGGAACAAGACGAGTATGAATCAAAGGAGTAGTAGGTACGGATAAGTAAGTGCTCTCACTTACAGAAGCGGCGGTGGCTTGTGTCGAGTGTGAAATCACATGTTGAAGGAGATGCGCAGCGATATAGTCCATGCCTTGGCAATACCCCACGAGTGGATACCGGCTGGCCAACGCCAGCAGGATTCCCGTCAGTTGTGATTGAATGTCTTGGTCAGAGTGATCCATAGCATTGTTGCGGCTGCTATAACGATCCCAGCGTAACGAACGTTGGTATGAAAATGCCAAAAAACTCCCATATATTATTGGCATAATTCGTAAGAAAAGTCGATCAAACAAAAATCTCACACTATGAAATTGTATTGGCTACTTTCGTGATATTCCGCAGTAAGCACAAAGTAAACCGAAAAAATAATGTAGCCAATCAGCGACAAGCCTGTTCAGATTGACCAATGAAAGCGATTCATGAAGATCGGTTGTGTGAGTCTATTGGTGGATCAGGGTCCAGGAATTCGTATCAAATCCATAATCAAAGCCCATTAAAGCAGTGGTCAGTTGCGAAGATAGACTCGACGGTAGATATTGTTTATGTGTTTACTCTAAACTGGAGCGACATGGAGAATAATATATGAATCGACACAACCAAATAAATATACTGAAGAATCGGCAGAAGGATTCAGCCAATCAGATAGCAGGAAACCATCATCAACGACATCAAATTAGTGTTAATTACGGTGATACCAATCACCACAAAGGACACGTTTTTACATACAACATTCAGTAACAAAGAATCGATAGATTTGGCGAAAAAAAAGTTTCAAATTTTTAAAAGGACAATATATATTTCAATCGAATGTACCTAAATAATCCGTCTGAAAGACCAGAGGCAGAAGACTCGATAGCTACACGACCGTAGGTTCGACGCACGTCAATGTAGATGGCTTCAACCCACTCGCCTTTGAGCTTGGCGTCGTGCTGGTAAGTCAAATAGTCTACTGACGAAGTTTGCTGCAATTCTTTCGACCTACAAAGTCATCCAGTGATGTTTATAACCACCTACTTAGCTCCACCACGGAGCTACATCATGAGAGAAATATAAACAATAGAGTAAGTACATTCATTCCACAACTGTAGCCAGCTACGCCACACACCTGCCATATTCAATTCACACTGTAGGTAGGTAGCTGGTCAGCGAGGCCACACAACTAGGACATGAGCAATCAATACTTAACACGTTGCGTTCATTAACGGTGGCCAGATGCGTAGCCATGTATTCAGGAATCAATATTGTCAGTCGATTCGAAATTGGAGTTCAATGGGCAGAATCACCAAATACATCGGCAGACAATCGATCGACCAATCAAATCCCAGATCACGAATCAAGTAGCCAATCAAATCCACTATACGACTAATTCAACATCGAATTAGTATGTGACTTCAATTAGTGTGATATGGCTCGAGTTTTACATACAAAAAAAGTCAGTAAACCAACGAATCGATTGATATAGATTTGGCAAAGAATCAGCACAAAAGTCAACCAAATTTTGGGTAAAAGAATGACAATAACACATATTGTGCTTTCGAGTGAAATGTCGTGTTGTGGTTTCTCGTTGGAATTTAAATCGATTTGATTGGCTACTTCAGACGAGCTCAAAATTATTAACCAATCAAAACCTTCTCAATGAAATTCAACCAATCAGATCGATTGTGGATCGGTTTGGTCGGCACGATTCGTTTGCACCCCCTCCCCAAATTTGTAGCCAGCTACGTCACACAGACTTCACTCAGTTCACAACGGTAGTCAGCTTCAGTAGCTACATAAACAGAAATTAACTATACACTTCACACCTGTTGTCAGCTACGCCATGCAGCTACATCATGAGAAAAAGTAATGTATTCCATTCAAACCTGTAGCCAGCTAGGTCGCACAAAAATCACGTCCTTACGCTCAGTTGACATCTCTAGCTACGACAGATATGCACCAACATAAATGTAATACAATTCATATCACAATTGTAGCCAGCTAACCAGTTGCATCACGCAGGGCTATACAACGTAGTGAAATGTTTATCGCATTCAATTCACGCAACTGTAGCTAGTTGGGGGCAGGTGCAGAATGGAACCAAAGAATACACGGGAATCACATACAGTATACAAGGCAATGCCGTTAGAGCTATCGCATACTAGTCCTGTACCCAGACACGTGTTGCCAGAATGGAAGCCGAAGCGACGCAGGCAACCCACCAACACGAACACAATATCGGTGCAGCCTTGGCTCGGCTAAAAGATGGTGGCGCATTCCGCGATTTACAGCCGAACAACGTGTGTACGTAGCCACACTATGGGCATGACACGTTGAGCATACATACAGTATTATAGCATAAGAACGGGCTTAGCTGGAGATCCGTACCAGCCCGTGAATGCAACGATGGTGTACAGAACATGAGGCATGTCCATGCATATCGCCGCCACCGAAGACATGGAGCAAGCTACAACGACATGAAACAATCACAGTATATGTTGCACGCTTTGGTTGGTTGGTTTGGGGCAAATTAACAAGGTACCGTAAGTTGAGTTGGGAGCGTCGTACCAGCCCACGAGATTGTGTGCAGCTATCGAGTTTAGATACATATTGTTTATGTGTTTCTTCTGTAAACTGGAGCGACATGGAGAATAATGAATAAATCGACACAACCAAATTGAATGGACACATGAATCATCGGCAGAAGGATATATTTAGCCAATCAGATTGCACGAAACCATTATCCACATAGAAAATTAATGTGTGACCTCAATTAGTGTGATACCAATCCACCACTGGACACTTTTTTTACATACAAAATTCAGTACAACGAATCGATCGATAGATATTTGGCGATTCCTCACAAAAGTCAACCAAATTTTGGGAAAATAGACAATATATTTGAAGAAACCGAACGCCCTTTGTTGCTCCATACAAACGCGCGCTTGTATTGTCAAGTCGATTCGAAATTAGAGTGGGGTGCTCAATCGAATGAGCAGCACCAAATCGGCAGACAATAGATTGACCAATCAAAACCCTGAATACTAATCAAGTAGCCAATCAAATCCACCCAATTCATCATCAAATCAGTGTGTGACTGAAATTAGTGTGACACTGGACGATCTGAACATACATAGGCAGGCAGTACAAAGTATCGATCGATAGATTTGGCGAATCAGCACAAGAGTCAACCAACTTTGGGGTGAAAGGACAATACAAGGGTATGTGTAGTCCGGACATACATGCTACGAAGTGGGTTGGACTAGCTTTGGAGTCCATGACGAATTGGGAACGATCATCCTCCACGGCATGCTTCTTGGTCACAAACAAGTCATGGACAAGGCGAGCGCCCAATAATGCTTCCACCTGCTGTTGCATGTGCGCCGATGTGTGCGACACCCGTCGTGTGAGTCCGACCACACCGCCTTTGGCCTTGGAAAGCGCTGGTTGCAGCTGTTCGCCGCTCGTGCGAATGCGGTCTCGGCTGAAACTTGCCGACGTTGTGAGTTTCGACTTGAGCTCGGTCAACTGCGGTGCGAAATGCTTTTTGACCGAGTTCTTGAGTTGGTCGAGGCGCGCCTGGATCCAATTCCCTGAGGAGGCTTTGGCGGGAGTAGCAGCGTCAGCAGGATGGGGAGGAGCTGATGCTGCTGCTGACGCGTCGGTGGGTGCGTCAATCCCATCTGCAGCTGACGTAGCCACTGCATGTTGTGCCACGGTGCGCTGCATTCTACCACGGCGTCGGTCGCTTGTAACAATAGGTTGACTTCCGCACTAAAATTGGAGCGCTCAAACGTCGAAAATAGTGTGCCAATGTAAAAAGTAGAGCTGTGTACTTTCAGTACTTGAATAGTGTAGGGTAGACTCAAGCCGTGTGATTGGATATAAATTGTGGCATTTACGCCACCTGATTGGTGGAGACTTACTTAATTGGTGGAAGCCCCAAATCCAACAAGCGGTAGGGAGACAAGCAACAACCAGACGCAGACGCCACGATGAACAAGGTCCAGAAACCCATGACGCAGCCGATCAACCTGATCTTCCGCTTCCTGCAGAATGTACGTACTCGCGCAGCATGATGACATCATCATCATGCTGCTCGTCGCCAAAGGGGAGGTTGTGACGATGCTGTGTGGTGTGTAGAAATCGCGGGTGCAGATCTGGCTGTATGAACAAGTGAACTCGCGCATCGAAGGCCGCATCATGGGCTTTGACGAGTACATGAACCTGGTGCTGGACGATGCAGAAGAGCTTGACGTGAAGAACCTCAAACGAATCCCGTTGGGTCGCATTTTGCTCAAGGGCGACACCATCACATTGATGATGGCGGCAGACGGGGGCGGAAGCAACTAGATCGCCATCCGTATACCATCATTGGCAATGCATCAATGACCATGCGACGCCCCCGAGATAGCATGTGTTGGTGCAATGTATTATGTATTCCTCCAGTGTTGACCTTCGGACCCAGATGAACGCTTTTCGTCGGAATTCTCAGTGCCGTAGCGCACGTGCCTCATGCCTTTGGACCTCCAGTGGTGATCATCACCGCGGGAACGCCTTCAACTCGAACGCCATACTATAATGGTGCAGTATGTAGGCCATTCGGAATGACATATGACACTGGAAGTTAAGGTCATGCATGGGCGGGAACGCCTTCAACTCGGACGCTCGCGCAAGGACTACTGCCCCATACTATAATGGTGCAGTATGTAGTCCATTCGGAATGACATATGACACTGGAAGTTAAGGTCATGCATGGGCGAGCGCCAAAGTTGATGTGCGATTTCAATGGGCGCCATCTAAGGTCAAGCAGACTTGCAATGTGTCATTCGCTTCACAGCATTTCTACACCGCGTAGCAAGGCCTCACATTTCCACACAGCCATGAAGGATTTCGGAAGCGGATCACAATCATCGTCGTCAAGACCACCACCGCCCTACTCTAGTACGAAGTACTTGCCACTGGTTCAACCAACGTTCACAACCACGCCGAATCCCAGAACACCCCTACAAGCTCTAGCCCAGAGGTCGAGGGATCATAGTCGTTAACCAGCAACCCGAACAACCGTTTGCAATTTCTCGCAGTGCCAGAACCAGCGGTGGCGAACTTGGTAAGGGCCGTGAGTGTTGGCATGCAAGATCAAAGTACTTTCACCACGAATACACCGACCAACTGGACTGCCAACGGCGATACATCGCTGCCGTGGACTCGGTCACCAGGAGGATGGAATATGGTACTCTGAATAATTGAAGGGATTGTTTTACAGAAAAAAAGTTGCGCCGTCGGGGAATTGAACCCCGACCTTCTCCTTGGAAGGGAGAAATCCTAACCATTAGACTAACGGCTCAAGCTTGTTAATACTTGTTAATCTATACCCTTTGACAATAGACTAACGGCGCGTTTTTATTCATAGCCTGGGTGTGTCTGGATCTCAAAAAAGGCCAAAATCTTCGATATTTTGGCAATTTAAGAAACCGGCAAAAATGCAAATTATCAAATATCTGTCTGGATCCAAAATTTGGAGAATTCAATATCATGCGAAATATCTCGTTTTTCGCCAAATAATAAAAAAGAGGTTAAGGCCGAGTCTGGATGCCACAGAAATTTTTATGCACACAGAATTCCCGTTTCAAATGGGAGGTGAGAAAATATTATGATGTGACCTCTGGATGCCATGATGGAAGCAGAACTATCGATAGAATAGACATATTTCGGAAGCACTGCCGTAGACTTCCCACGCACGGAAATTTTAATGCACGGGAAATATGTGGCAGACCCAACTCATGATTTCGACAAAACTTATTTGCATTTACCACATCCGCATGAGGAACGATATCCGTATGCTTGCATGTGTGGTGGCGAATCCACACCGCACATAGTTCCCTGTTGTTGCATTGCGTAAGCTTACTCATGTGGCCCCATTACCACAACTGGCATCACGAAGGGGTCTTGTCACACACCTCATGGGTCCACAACTTTACTATTATGATCCCAGTTATTGCGTGCCACGTTGAGCAAGGGAGTAAGTAGCTTTACGACACCTTACGAAACCGCTTGGTGATTTTAGTTCATGATTAGAGGGGCGCAACTGCGTACTCGACCATGTCCACTTATGTGCACATGCGGATGAGAATTGTGAGTTTTCTGTACGCTTCATGCGCCTATAGGCGAAACACCGAAGCCCCATATTCAAATCGTCGTGGCAGGACATCGAACCAAGGCAATTACGCCGACTGCTGGAGAAGGTTCAGGATAACTGGCTGAATGAATAAGACAAGATATGATGCACGTAATCGCTCCACCTGAACTCTTGGAATGACCCACCTTACAGTAGTGAGGAAAAGGCTGGACACCAGGCCACGTCGGGTTATGCAAGGTGACGAAGTGTGCATTATTAACGTTATGCGCGACTGGTTGAAATCCACGATTTAAGACCAATGATGGTGCCCTAGAGGAGGGGTGACCTTTCCGTACAAATGGCCGATTCTACGGCATCCCACATAAAATTTGACAGTTCCCGTAAACTGGAAAATTTTTAAGGAGGTAAATTGACGGCAAATGCATGGGAACGTGTTCCGAAATCTGTCTAATAACGTGTAGGTAAAAATTGGACAGTTGCAGATCAAACTTTTTTCTGTCAGAAAACAGTAAAAACGCGACGTATTGTGTCACGTTATATATGTCAGATTTGGTAGCCAAAAACACAAAAGCCGTTGTTTGAAAAATTGTCATAATATTCAAAGAGGTGTTTTCTGACATTTTTTGTGGCAGCCAGAGTGCCCTAAAGGGACTTTTTCTGAAAGTTAATTTACTGATTCTTTCGAAATCAGTTTGAAAATTCAGACAGTCAAAAATAGAGAACAACTAAATTCTTCGAATTACTTTGAACCAAATTTTCGACATTTTAATTGGGCAAAAATTGGGGTGTGATCCAGACTCACCCAAAAACAACTTTACTAACCTACACCTGTATTGTAGCCGACCTATATTTTGCTGGAAAGTTAGTCTTCATCGTGGGTGACTATGTATTGAATGGAATAAATAAACCTGAGCTAACGATAAGCAAAGGACCCAAGGAGTGGCCCTAATCGAGCCTTGGGAGAACCCTCGTTCGTATATGTACTATGGCGGCCCCATTGGCTCAGTAGTTCCACGACCTCACTGTCCAAGCACGGATACAGATTCCCGACAAAGATTCGACTTACTGTTAAACGCAGCTCTAGACCGGTAGAATGAACGCAGAAAGTGGTCGGAGCCTCACTCGTGCAAAGATGTCATGAGTTTTGTCGTCTTGCCAGTTACTACCGCAAGTTCATCCTCGACTTAACGGAGCTCATCCGCCCCCTTAGTGGTTTGCTGAAGAAAGGAGCCAAGTGGCACTGGAGCGAGGACAAGCGTCGAGCGTTTTTGACAATCAAGTTCGCGTTGCAGCAAACCCCTGTTTTCCAATTGCCTGACTACAACAAGCCTTTTGTGGTTACCACCGACGTCTCTGGTTTCTGCTGTGGTACAGTCACTTACAAGCTCGACGGCGACGGCAATGATCGGTCCGTTGCTTACATGTCCAAACAAACGCTTCTGTCCTCATGAACAGAATGGCCCGCGCACGAAAAAGTACAGTACGCCATTAAGTTGGCTCTGGGCAAGTGGCGCCATTACCTGCATGGCACTCGGTTTGATGTATACACCGATAACTCATGCTGCAAGTAGGTCATGACAACGCCGGTCTCTTACGCCCAAGTTGACGCGTTGGCTTGAGGATTTCAGTGTTTCGACTTTGCCTTCCATCAAAGCCCGGGCAAGATGAATGTGGTAGCTGATGCCTTGTCTCGGCCTCCACAGGCCACCTCCACCGTTGACCAGCTCTCAATCCACGCGTGTGGTATCCACTGTGCCTCAGTCGCGGCGCGCATCAATCGACTTCTTATCCATGCCTCGGCTCTCTCCATCTACACGACTCGTGATATCGCTCATTGTCGACTCTCCTTTTAGGGGAGAGGAGTTGGGGAAGCAAAAAGGAGTGCTAGTGCCTTAACACCTAACGGTGAACCACTCGAAGCAAGTGTCCTTTAGCACCATCGAGATGGACACCAAAGCCACGACCAAGTTTGGAAGCTATGTGTCCCCAACGATGACGTGCTACTCGCCGAGAATTTATCTCTCGTACACGATCCAAGCACTACCGTGCACACTGGAACTCGACGTACATTGTTAAGTGTAGCGCAGTGGTACTACTGGAACACTCTTGCCAAAGACGTGAAGTTATACGTCGCGACTTGTGAAACATGCAGTCTATACAAGACGAGCAGTCTGCGTGCAAATTGCAAGCTGATTCCCATTCCCGCGCCGGAAGAGTGTTGGCAAACTGTTTCAGCGGATTGGATCACCGGTTTGCCCGTGTAAAAAGGCATGATGCCAGTTTGGTCGTGATAGACAAGCTCTCCAAGCGGCCAAAGTACATCCCGACGAGATCAGATGTTGACGCACCCCAAACGGCGAAGGAATTCTTCGAACGTGTTGTTCGTTACCATGGAGTACCAGCAATGATCATCAGCGATCGTGACCCCAAGTTTACAAGCACGTTTTGGAAGTCCCTCATGGAGATTATGGGTATCCGCCAATCCATGACCACCGCCGGCAGAGCTCAAGCCGATGGAGGGACTGATCGCCAGAATCGAAATCTCGAAGATGCGCTCAGATGTCAAGTGTCATATCTAGGACAAGACTGGGTCGAGCATTTGCCAACGATCGTGTATGCCCACCAAGGATTAGTCCAAGCATCAACCGGCTTGACGCCCTTCGAAGTCGACACAGGCCGCAGGTTGCGCAACCCTTCCGTGAGCGGCTCCTTGTCCAAGAAAACTTTGCCAAGAATTTTGCGGAACATCGAAAGGAAGTCATTCGGATGGCTCACGAGAATTTGACGAAGGCCCAGCAACGTCAGAAGTAGAATTATGACAAGCACCGCTCGAAAATGACCTTGTTGGGGTTCATGGTCCGCAGGGGTGATGGGGGCGTCCAATGATTCGCGCTGGACGTCACATATGCGTTTTGTAGTATGGGCGAGCACGCAGCGGCGGGAGGTTTGGTCAGGGGGATTATGCGAGTCGGGGGTCCGTATGATTGAGCGCCAAATAATCAGTAAAGATACGTTACGACCTTTGTGCAGTCTGTCGTCGTCGTGTTGTCGCTCGTGGCCGATGCACTAACGAGGCCTGGTGCCTTTCAGAATTTGGTGCTTGCGTAGAGCCGTTAGTCAGAAGCTCCAGAGTTCCAGGAGGGGTGCAAGCTGGGGTATGGTGGGGCGATGGGTGCCGATATCAGCTTTGGAGCTTGCGCGGTCAGTGCGGCGATGATTTGCACGCATGAACTCCCATACGTTCTCCGCAGGAGACGTGCTGGGTGGCGGCGAAGCAGTCGAAACGAGCGGTTGGCCAGGAACAAAAGGTAACGGGTCGGTGACAGTGTCATCAACGCCTGAGTCGTTGGCTGTCCTGGACGTTATGGAACGACGAAGCAGCCGGGGAGTGGAACCGTGTGGCATCACGAGGGGGTTGGTGCCAATCGACGGGTCGACAGGTATGCCAAGAGGGGTTACGGTGGACAGATCAAGCGACATGGTAACAGTTGGTGAACGAAGGGTAGTCTTTACGATGGTCAGCATAGTGGTACTATGTACAAGCTGCCAACTGAAGGACTGGGCGCCGTTAGTCTATTGTCAAAGGGTATAGATTATCAATATTAACAGCTAGTCCTAATCTTGCCGAAGCTCAACCCAGTCCGAATGCCAGAGCACGAAGCACTTGCAAGGAACTACATGTGGAACATGATTATGATGGGGGAGGCCGAGAATGATGCTGGAGAGGCGCAGCCGAGAAGTGGAAGATGGGGAACAATCAAGCCAGTTCGGGGGGGGTACTGGTCATGTCGCACAACACAGTGAAACACAATGCCGCACAAAACGAATCACGTGATGATCTGCGAAGGGGAGTCCCCTCGAGCCAAGGCAACCGATGGATACTGCAGCAATGTGTGTGTGGTGAGGCTGGAGTGACGGACATCAGAGCACGTTGGTGGGCGTACGGTTGCAGGGGATGGGGCAAACGTAGCCAGAAATGAATGTACACAACTTTGGACTGGACGCACACCACAATATGCTGGTGATGCAGCAAAACCGCAGTTGAGATGGTGGGGGGAGTAGTGCTTGGGGTGGAATAGGGGTAAACAAAACACGACACGACAATGGTGATTGCACAACGGTACAGCCAGTGTAAACCAGCGTGGGGCTAATGAATATCGAACGTCGGTGCAAGCTTGAGACACGGGGGGAATTTTTGATGCAATTGCGAGTAGTGGGACTGCCGAAATAACAAATCTAGCGCAGCCATCAGAGCAGGTCGAGTGATATCGTCAGGGGGTAAACGACGAAGCCACGACCGTACTGTGGCAGTCCAAGTGACAAAGGACAGTTCAATGAGGGCCGCGAGGGGCGGTAGCGCGTGGCCCTGATATTGAACTTGATTGTGGTGAAACCACAGGAGGTGTAGACAGACACCAGTGACCATGACCCACAACTGAAACAGTGCTGGTTTGAGATGCCCGTGGTTGACGTGACAATAAAAATCGTCCAGGTTCAAAATGTTGTGCCAGGAAAATCGGACTCCAGTAGTCCGCCATGCTGACTGGTGGGTTTGCCACAGGGGGGCCAATCGAGGGCAAGCAAAAAGTGCGTGTAGTTGAGACTCAACTTCGAGGCAGCCGTGCGCACACAGCACGGCGCTGGCGTCTGTAGCCTGGCGATACACGAAACGAGCATTCACAGGAAGCATGCCAAAGAGGACACGGAACCACACATCCGCATGCACAGGGGGGGACATCGATGGACTGGCGCACCAATCGCAAGTAAAGTCGAGCCGACTTGAAGTTGGGGCGAGTAGCACTCTTTGTGGGGTGGTCACGAGTGGGATAATCAGAGTGGGACGCTAGAATCTGCACAAATCACTTCGGCCACACCTCAAACGGAACAACGATGTACTTGATTTTCGGTTGAAAGGTATGGTCGGTCAGAGGAAGCATTTGGAGCTGGGCGTCGTGGGGGATTGAGTACAGCAGTTTGACATCGCGGAGGATTTTCGTGAAATGCTCGTAAATCAGACGGGACTTTTCGACTGGGGCAAAACGGATCGACCCGTTCTGCAACACGACTGGGACTGCCCGATTACCGGACGACATGGCGGCAATAAATTGGTGGAAGGAGGGCCACGATCCGCCGACACCAACACGTAGAAAATCACGGAGGCTGCGAAGCCCGTTGCTAGCACCATGGAGGCACCACGAACCAGTAGGTGCTCGTTTTGACGACATGCGTGCAGCGTTGTTTTTGTGGATATCGAGGAATGGCGCGAACGTTGAGTCCCACAGGGGCAAGTCGAGAGTGGTAGCAATGTCCGGGGCAATGGAAATACGTCGTTCCAAGGGTACGCGTGACCATTCAAACCACACGTCAAGCCACAATGGATGGAGCTCGGTAGTATACATCCACGCCGATAATGAGTGGGGGCATTGCCACAGAAAGTCAAATGGGTGTGATGTCCGGTACAGTTGCTGGAGGCACTGAACAACTGTTGCTGGACCAAACACGCCCAAGGCGGAGGGGAATCGGAGGCAGGTGAGCACATTAATCGCTGCAGGAGTAGCAACCGTTGGCTGCGAATTGTGGACGCAATGTGGGGGATGCCGAGTCCGATGTGCTTGTCGTGATGCCACATACGATGCAGGAGGGGGCGATACGAGGGGTCGTCGGTGGTTCGACTGCAAAGGATGTAATTGGTAATCATTCGTTGCCACGTTGCAACCATAACGACAGGCACAGGTGTTACCGCCGTTATATGCCAGATTTGGGACAGGATCATGGTGGAGGCTATGGTGCGACGACCTTGCATTGTTCGTGCTCGACATTTCCATTTCGGCAGGGCCGCAAGGAATTTGTCGTGAATTAATCGGGTTTGGTATGCAGGGTCTAGTTGGTGGCCCACAATGGCGCCGAGAAATCGAACGGGAGTGCCAGACGGCGCAAGTATCAGGGAAGGCCACGGCCGGCAACCCCATGTCAAGTGTGTGGGCCAAAGTCGAGCCATTGAACGACTCGTTGTCTACGATCATTGGCCAACTCATCTTTGCCGCGATCCTCCTGTCCGTGGCCAAGTGGGGTCTGCACTGGAACTGGCGGTGGGCCATCGGTCTTTCGTCCGTCGGTGTGATGTTGGTGGACGGGTTTGTCATCTTTGTGACGATCTGGGACATCATTCGCAAACAATGGTTTTACACCGGCGTGGCGCTGGCGGACAACGTGCCCGGCGGCGTGCGCTTCATCGTGGCAACGTACTGCGCCGTGGAGATCGCCGATGTCGGCAACGAAGGCGCCACGTACGGCTTGGTCACGACCGTGTCCAACTTGGCGTCTCAGTTTGCGTCTGTGATCTACAAGTTCATCGACACGTACTTTATGCTGTCCCAAAACGACCTCAAGTCTGACACGACCGAAGTGCGGTGGGACGTCACGTACTCGTACTTTATCTCATACGGGAGCAAGTTGTTTGCGCTCACGTGGCTGTGGATGCTGCCTCCCCAGCGCCCCCAGATGCAAGAGCTCAAGAAGAAGGGCGGCAAGAATCCGTTGGCCGGCATCATTTTGATCACCGTCTTCACCATGTGCCTGTGTTTCTCGGTCACGACCAGCATCATGTCCATCTTCCCATCAACCAAGTGCTACCGTATCGCAGGGGGCAACGGCAAGTTGGACCCCAAGACTGGCGGATGCCCTGCTGCCAAGAGCAAGAAAGCTTAAACCTGTTGGTAGATTTAAACTATGTCGTAGTGTAATACAATGTGTTGTGCATTTCTCAATGGAGGGTTGCATCATGGATCTGAGCACGAATGATATGGTTTGAAACCTAGACCTACCTACCGTAGGCAAAGCCATCGCTGCTGCATCCCGCGGTCTTGAGTGGTCGTTGTTGAATTGCAGCATGATTGTCCACATTTGATTGTTGATATAACGCGAATCTCAATATAGTTGCCGCCGTCGCCAACGGTGGGGGCTACGGGGGTGGCAGTATGAACCTCTTGAACGGGTTTCAATTGTTGTGATTGTGTCTAGACTTCGCTGGACCAAGGGGTGGGTGATGTTGAGGGTATATAGGACAAGCTTTGGACTTGTGACCCGAGCAAGTATCGCGTCACTGGGGGGGTCAGTGGAAAGGCCTCCAAGCGTAATCGTGCCTCGAGGGGATCAGTGGGATCAAAAAGTGCTATGTGCCAACGTTGGAATCGTCACCATATCGATTAGGTGAAGGGGCGGCTCGGCATAGATGCAATGTAATGGTTCAGACTGTCCACAGATCACACAGCCATGACGACCGCTCTGGGTAAGAAACCATTTCGCTCTACGTCTGCACCGCCTAGCAATTTCTTGCTCGTAGCTATGCACGCTCCATGACCAAACAATCGCCCACATGCAGGCACCCACTTGGGTTGCAGCAGAACAATCATCGTTTCGACGCTGCCGCCAACACCATATGGACACACCGAAACCCGGAACACTCAAACCCTTGCTATCCACGACGACTGTAGTACAAACAACCAATCAGCCGATGTCATCAGTTTGCACGCTGCTCGTAAACCAGTGATGGCGATATCGGGTAAGAGCCACGTGCATCCAATAACGGAAGTTTTTTCTGCCATACCTACTCCTATCGACATAACGTGACGGATCTGTGATTTGCCGAGCTGCATTACCCAATAGAAATCAAGAATTGATATGATTGGAGAAAATGTAAGCCTGCAACAACTAACACCTTCAAAAATTTATGGTGGGAAATAGTACTAACTTAAAGAGGAGCTCGCCTGTTTTCAAATCAAAATGCCGCCAAGAACGCCGTACTCGCCTGACGATGTGGCTAAAGCGATAGTAGACGTAGTCTCCAAGAAGTGCAACATCCCTTCTGCTGCACAAGCGTATGCCATTCCTCAGCGAGCCCTTCGCTTTCATGTGGCAAAGGCCAAAAGACCCAACGTCGCCTCCAAGTCCATGGGACCACAGCCAATGTTGCCCCTCCAATATGAAAATGACCTGGTGACCTGGTGACCTGGATCAGCGTGATGGTCATCCGGTTAACCGCACTCAAATCCTGGACAAGGCGGCCGCAATCCATGACACCGTACACGGCTTTACAGCACCGACCAAGCCGATGTCAGGCTGGTACCAGAAGTTCCTTGCACGACACGACCAACTCAAGACAAAGAAGTCCAACGTCCTCAGCAAATCACGACACGCTGTCGACGAGAACGCTGTCGCCGCCTTTTACGAGGAGTTGCTTGATGCCTTGACCCACGTCAACATGGACCCAAAGCGCGTATTCAACATGGACGAGACGAGTTTCTCTCCATCCAAGACAGCGACGAAGGTGGTCGTTCATCGGTCAACGCAGCATGTCTACGTCGAAGAGTCAACTGCGTCTGCTCACGTCACAATTGTGGCTTGCGTTGGTGCAGACGGATCAAAGATCCCGCCTCTATTTATCCTCCCTGGCGATCGTGTTACGACTGACGTATGTGACAGCCTTGTGATACCGGGTGAAACGGTGACGACATCTGAGAAGGGTTAGACGAACTCATACATCGTCGAAAGTGGCTTACCATGCTCGACTCTGCGATACCTGCGTCAACACCGCGGCCAATCCTGCTGATTTTAGATGGATGTTCCTCGCTTTACTCCACCTACATCTACGATGAAGCGGTGCGCCAGAGCATTTTGCTGCTGTTCTTGCCAGCGAACTCGACTCATGTGTTCCAGCCGTTGGACGTGACAGTGTTTCGCCCGTTCAAGCAAGCCATCTGTCGGGAGATTGCCAACGACATGTGGAACGACATCGCGACGAGCATCAACAAGCAACACGCGATTTCGATCGCGTGTCGTGTGTGGTCGTCGTCAACAAAGGATGCCTCTATTGTGAATGGATTTGATTGCACCGGCTTGTGTCCACCATCCCTGGACAAAATGCGGTACCGTTTGTCCATTTTCAAGCCGTCTCAGGACGACTCGGTTGACATTGAAGCCACGTGGCTCCAGCGCAGTGCGATTGTGAGGAGTGATGTGCTCTTGCTACCCCCGCAGAAGAAAAAACGTGCTGCGAGGAAGACCTTGACTGTGAGCGGTAAGTTTATCACTGCCGATTACCATGCAATTCTCCAAAGTCAAGCTGCCGCTCGTCCCAAAGGCCGAAAAAGGACTCAGCCAACTATTCCAGCCCCTGTTGCTGATCACGAGGAGGACGAAGTAGCTTTAACCGAGGAGTTGGTAGCGGAATCATACTGCATTTAAGTGTAAAAGCGTGCACTTAATAATGCTTACATGTTAGAACGGAATACTGTTACGCTACAGAGTTCTAAAGTTGAGGAAAAATTTGGCGCACCCCGGGACACCCCGGGACTCGAACCCGGGGCCCATCCACCACCGCCTCATCGTCTAACCGATTTGCTACGCGCCAAAGGCTTGGCTTATATACTTGAGTATAGTATAAGTGAAG